GCTTATCATGCTTCAGCTCCAGGTAACACTAAACATTGTTGGGTAATTGAATCAGGTGCATCAAGATGGTTCCCTTGTTCCCATCACTTATCTTTTGGCAAAGATAAAGTGTCCATTGTTGATGGTTCCCTTGTTCCCATTTTTGGCAAGGGAGACATCAAGTTGTCTAATACCATTTTCTTATCTTCAGTTTTGCATGTTCCTAAATTTAGTACTAACTTGCTTTCAGCTAGTAGCATTACAAAACACCAGAATTTTTCAGTAACCTTTTTTCCTGACCGATGTGTTTTTCAGGACTTGGAGACAAGGAAGGTGATTGGGACTGGCCATGAGACGAATGAGATCTATATGCTTGGAGAGAGTTCTCATTGGGAAGATAGTGAAGATAGGAAGTTTTTTGTTTCTCAGTCTGTTAGTTAGTTATGCTTTGGCATAATCGGTTGGGTCATTTATCTTTTCGGTCTTTAAAGAGTTTGTTTCCTAATTTATTTGAGTCGTCTCAGATGTCCAGTTTGAGATGTGAGAGTTGTTAGCTTGCAAAGCATTGTAGAGCATCTTATTCATTGAGTAATAAAAGTAATAATCCTTTTGATATTGTGCATACCGATGTTTGGAGACCTTATCATATCACTGCTATGGGGGGATATAGATATTTCTTGTTGTTTGTTGATGACTATACCCGTTTTTCTTGGGTTTACCTTATGCATTCTCGAGATGAGGTTTCTGCTTTAACCCAGATCTTTCATCAGATGATTTTAACCCAATTTGGGGTCAAAATCAAAATCTTCAGATCCGATAATGCAAAAGGAATACTTTGCCAACCCATTAGCCTCTTATTTGCTTGATCATGGGATTATCCACCAGAGTACTTGTCCTCATACACCATAGCAGAATGGGGTTGCTGAGAGAAAGAATAGGCACATATTGGAGGTGGCTAGAAGCATCATGTTTTACTCCAATGTGCCTATTCGTTTCTGGGGAGATGCTATTCTTATAGCAGTGTATCTCATCAGCCGAGTTCCTTCACGGGTTCTTGATATGAAACCTCCATTTACCCTTCTATATCATGAAAAGGAGTTGTTTACTGTTCCCCTTAAAACCTTTGGTTGTACTTTCTTTGTTCAAATTCTTGGTCCTCATCGTTCCAAATTTGATCCTAAGGCCTCCAAATGTATTTTTCTCGGTTATGCACAAACTCAAAAAGGATATTGCTGCTATGAACCCACTTCTGAGAGGAGATTTGTCTCTATGGATGTTACCTTCTTTGAGGATGTACCCTATTATCCTAGGGTTTCTCCTCTGGAGGAGAGTAGTGAGTGTGGGGTTAACTCATCAGAAGTTCATTTACCTGTTCCGTTGAGTGATGAGGGATGTAATGGGGAGGGTTGTCAGAGGTGCCGGGACTTGAGAGTCTATCACAGGCGGTGGAGGCAGGTTGATTTCGGTCTTCAGCAGTCCACGCCAGTCCCCGTTCCTTCTGTGGATCCAGATCCAGGTACCACAGTTCCTTTATCAAATCCAGATTCCACTGAGATACCTTCCACCATTGAGCCCTTATCTCCATTGGATGACCTTGACCTCCCCATTGCAGTCCGTAAAGGCAAATGGCGTTGCACCACATCCACAACCCACTGCATTTCCCAGTTCTTGTCCTATGATCACGTGTTCCCTTCTTATAGGTCATTTTCTTGCATCCATTGTTTATTCCTATCCCTAGAATAGTGTAGGAAGCCTTGTTAATTCCTAAGTGGAAAGATGCAATGAAGGCTGAAATGGATGCTCTTCTGAGGAATAATACTTGAGAGCTAGTTGACCAGCCTAAAGGGAAGAAACCAGCTGGATGTAGATGGGTGTTTATTGTGAAACATAATGCTGATGGTTCCATTGAAAGGTATAAGGCCCGGTTAGTTGCAAAGGGATATACTCAGACTTATGGTATAGACTACTTGGGGACTTTTGCTCCAATAGCAAAGATGATCACTATTAGAGTTTTATTATCCCTTGCAGCCAGTTATTCTTGGCCCTTGTTCCAGATGGATGTCAAAAATGCCTTCCTCAATGGAGACTTGCAGGAAGAAGTCTACATGAAGTTGCCTCTTGGATTTTATGATGTAGAAACAAGAAAGAAGGTTTGCCGATTGAATAATGCCTTGTATGGACTAAAACAGTCCCCTAGAGCTTGGTTTGATAGATTCAGACAATCTCTTGGAAAATTTGGTTATGTGCAGGCCTAGTCAGACCATACATTGTTCATTAAGAGAGTGGACTCTTCCTTAACCTTGCTTGCTGTATATGTGGATGATATTGTAGTGACAGGGAATGATAACAGTGAGATTGAGTCTCTTAAACAACTCCATCAAGAGTTTGAGGTAAAAGATCTGGGAGAGCTACAATATTTATTGAGTGTTGAGGTTAGCTAGGTCTAAACATGGGATTTTTGTTTCTCAAAGAAAGTATGTTCTTGACCTGTTGGAAGAAACTGGAAAGTTGGGTGTTAAGCCTGTAGACACACCTATTGAACAGAATCACAAGATCAGTGCGGAGGGTGGAGAGCCTCTTGAAGATAAAGCTATGTTCTAGCGGTTGGTTGGAAAACTCCTTTATCTTTGTCTCATACAACTGGACGTCAATTATGCAGTCAGTGTTGTCAGTCGGTATATGCACTCTCCTAGAACCACTCGCCTAGTTGCAGTTGAGAGGATATTAGCATATTTGAAGAGGTGCCCAGGTAGAGGTATACTATTCAAGAATAATGATCACATGAAGATAGAGGTTTACACAATGCTGATTGGGCTGGGAGTATTGATGATAGAAGGTCTACCTCTGGATATTGTGCTTTTGTAGGAGGTAACCTTATCTCTTGGAGGAGTAAGAAACAAAGTGTTGTTTCCCATTCCAGTGCTGAACCTGAATATAGGTCCATGACAAATGGTGTGGCTGAAATCCTATGGTTGAAATCACTATTTGAGGAGTTGGGTGTTGCTTATGAGAAGCCCTTAATGCTGTACTATGATAATCGGACTGCTATTAATATAGCCCATAATCCGGTACAGCATGACAGAACTAAGCATATTGAAGTAGACCTACATTTTGTTAGAGAAAGGGTTTCATCTCAAGAAGAGTGTCTTTCGTATATCACCTCTAGCATGCATAGTTGTCAAGGCGACTAGGCGACCATGGGGCGCCCAGGCGCCTAGCGATGGAATCTGACCTAAACTATTTTATAGGTTTAGCCTTTAGGAACTAGGAAGGGAGTAGGTTCGGGTGTTAAAAATAATAAGTGCAAGAAGGAGGAGGAATAGGGGTGGAGACCTTGTTTTTCATAAAAAAAAGCATTGAAGAAGAAGAAGAAGGAGGAGGAGGAGGAATAGGGGAGGAGCCCCTGTTTTTCGAAAAAAGAATAGCATTGAAGAAAGAGGAGGAGGAGGGAGAGGAGGAGGAGCTCGTAGATTTTCTCACCAAAGCTGTTCCAAGGAATAAGTTAGAGGCAGACCTATGCAAATATCTATTCCCAACTTGAGGGGGAGTGTAGAGAACACTGATGTGGACCCCACTGATGTGGTCCCCACTGTGTTCGTATGGAAGTAATATTTCAGTTAGTTCTGACAGTGTATTAGTTGGTAGTTATTTCGGTTTTTATTATTAGTTTTCTTTTATTCTTTTTGCCATGTAAGCAATAAGGGCAATTCAGCCCTTTTACAGTTAGTCAAACATTTATATAAATCATAAGAGTGGGTCGCAGATGTTATGACCCTCTCTCTCCTTTTCTGAATTCCTCTTCGTGTACTTCTTCTCTTCTTCTCTTCTTCTCTTCTTCTCCTGTTCAAATTAGTATTTCGTTCTTTCTAAAAACAAGACAGATTGTAGTCTTGATCGACTACTCCTTCAAATATTTTGCTATTAAAATATTAATAGAAAACAATAAGTCATTCAGTTCAGCCACTTCAGCCTTTCTTTTTGATGGTTAACAGTAATGAATCACATTCAATAATGATCAAGAACCATATTGTCAAAAATAGACAGCACTGGTAATACAACAACAATTGTCAGGTTAAACCATAATTTGTTTAATGTACAGCTTGCATTTTTTTTCCAGGCCTGGCAAATCCATTCAAGTTCTTGCCTTGTCACACCAGCTTTTTCTAAATTATCAACCTGGGAATCTACTTAAATGAGCAATAAGATTTCTTCCTATGGTTTTTTTCTCCTCTAACTACGAACTGAAACATCCATGGAGGTTCCTCATCAGATCTAAGCCAAAAATGACTACTTGGCAGCCTCCTTGTATGATCATTTTCCTTAAATTTTGTTGATTGATCAATTTCTTCAGTCCTTGAGTTACAGCTAACACTCCAGCAGTTGTCAAATGGCCCTTCAGACTTGCTGGGTCCTTTAGTAAGTAAAAGAGCAGAATGGGGTCTGTTTGGGTCAGGAACTGCTGTATCAAGGTTGACCACAATATTGGTTTAGATTTGTGATATAAGCATGACATCCATGTGGAATTTATCGTATTTTGTTAACTACAAAAAAAGGAGAAAACTGCGTTATTTATCTTGGTCAGGTTTCTCTCATTAAATTATTTCTCGACTATGTTTTTCGATTTGATTTTTTCCTTGAAATATCGTGGAATATGATGAATTAATAAGTACTCTTCATTATTTTCTACCTTCAAATTATATAAGTTTTAAATTTATTGTTGCATGAACCAATAATCTTTTCCTGTGGAACCTTAAATTCCTTCTTTGGTTGTCCATGTACCATGTATTTTCTCTTGCTTTCTAGCTAGCTGGACAACCTTCTGATGTTGAGCTATTGTTTCCAGTTAGAACAAATGTCTCTGTCCATCTATATATTTACCTGCCTATATGGTAAAGCATTTTCCACAGAGAATCTCCAAATTGACCTTAAGATGATATAATTTCTATCCGTCATCACTTTTGATTTTTGAATAGAATTAAAAACAGCCAAATACAGAAATAATTGGGTAGTATTTTCTGCAGGTGATAAAAAGGAACACCTTCTTCAGCCATCTGTTCCAGAATGTGCAGTTGAAAGGATAGAATCTCCGTCTTGGAAAGATATGTTAACTGTGATTGACCAAGAGAAAGTTTTCGACAAATCAAATGGAAATGTGAGAATCCTATGGTGTATTCTGATATTCTCATTATTCCCCTTGTTGATTAGCCTTCAATTTACACTTATACAGATAGATTGTCATTTCTGGAACTACCAAACATTTACTGTTATCCTTCTGTAACATGAATCAGCAAATTGTTATTGGTAATATTTATCCTTCTTTATTCTTCAAGCATCAACTTTTTGTGTGCATTTATTGGTAGCAAATTGTTATTCTTGGTAAGATGGAAGCGTCTCATACTTGATGTGGATGCTGAATCCTTAGAGCCAATTTTGAGTTTTTCATGATATTTATGTCTATACTTGATATGGATGTCTGTACAGGAAAAACCGCTATCTTCAGGAAGTGGAAAAGTCTCTTCAAACCTTGTTGAACATCAAGAAGACTGGCCTTCCCAGTGGCTAGAGCCTGGTGGATATAATGGAGAATATGGTAGTTACAAAACAAATGAGGACATGCAAATCTCAGCAGCTAGACAATTTCTGTTAAGCTCTGACAGCTTTCTTGAATCTCCAACATTAACATCACTGCTTCAGGAAGTTGAGAAATCTAAATTTTCTGCATTTTCTTCTGGAATAAGTATTTTCGAAGCCAACACTTATAATAAGATGTGGTTTGACCAAGAAAGTCCACTTGGAATTCCTCTTGGAGCAGATTCATCAAATTTGATTATAGCACAGAAACAGAGGTTTACCATTTCTGAAATATCCCCAGAATGGGGTTATGCCAATGAGAACACAAAGGTATATTTGATGAGGTTCTACATCTCCAGTCATGTTCTCATTCTTATTAATAATTCATTTCTCTTTTCTGTGAAGGTAGCATTTCTTTTCAACTAATCGGTTTACAATCAAGGATCTTTTTTCATCAATAAGAAGATCGGGGATCTTCATCTAATTGTTAATGTTGATGTATGCTAATTTCATCTCTACATGGAAAATTTATAATAAATACAAGGTTCATTGCTGGCTCAGGGTAGCAGCAAGAACAAGTTGATTAATAGAGATAATAGTTTTTGTAGGGTTGATTAGGGTTTGAAAAGTAGCCCAAACAACCTCAAAGTTGTAGCTTTGAATAAAATCTACAAAAAGAATTGATTACAAACTCTAGTAAAAAGTTGGATTTGACTCTTTTACCCTTATTTTAAATATGTAGATCCAGCTTGTTGTGGGGCTAAACTGTCTTTCGATTTTATGTTAGTAATAATAGACTAGATGCGTAACAAAATAATAGGTAAAGCAGGGCCACAGCAGCAACCCTTTAACAACATGAACCTCTGGTGCTCAAGGGACTTTTAATATCCACCACTGTATTTCCTAAAACTGCATCGCTTATCTTCAATCAACTCTAACCATGCCATTGATTTTATCATCATCATCTAAACCTTTTCCTACAATGAATCCTGTTCTGCTATTCCGCTCTGTTCAGTGCCATATCCATTGTTAATTCCGGTTATTCAGGGGTGGACCACTTTTTTCATATAACATATTCTAATATATTAACTCAATGTAACAAATTAATCTTATAAATAATTTTATTTTAAATTTAAACATTCTAATATGCTTGTGCACTAGGGTTAAATCATAAATATAACCATAAGGTATATATTGACACGTCAAAGTTCCTTTCAACCCCATATAGACCTAATCTTCTGTGTGTGTGTGTGTGTGTTTCCAGAATTCTCTTGAAGAAGTAACATGGTTAACATAACACCTCACATTATGTAGCTTCTAGCTAAATTAAACATGTCTCACCTCACTTCATTTGTTCTGTGCAAATATTTTCTTAATAAAAGAAACCTTTCAGCACAAGTAGGGAAATTTTGGCATAACCTAAATATTTGTTAGGTGTTCCCTTAATTAGACGTGATTTTAGAATTATACCTAGGTATTTCATCATCATTGTCGTCGTCGTCATCATCCAAGCCTTACCCCAAGTATATGGGGTCAGCTACATGAATCCTGTTTCGCCATTCCGTTTTGCTTAATGCCATATCCATTGTTTAATTATTAGTGCTTAAATCATTTCTTACCACTTCAACCCATGTCTTTTTTTGGTCTACCCCTACCCCTTCTGGACCTAGGTTAATGCCATATCCTAAGCCTGTGTGGAGAAACAGACTAGTAATTTAGTGAAGTCCCTGTCATATTAGTTGCCTTTGTTATTTACCTGTTATTAGTATTTTGGGCCTTGTTACTAGTCTTTCTGGGCCTTACTGGACCTACTATAGTTGCTGTTACTATTACTGTTATTGTTTATTAAGGAGTGTGTTAGGAGGCAGGGACATAGATGTCATTGTAGATCTTCTTCTATTCTCTTCCTTTCTCTTCCTCTCTTCTTTCTTCTGTTTTTCTCTTATTTCTCTTTTGGTTTTCTTGCTGAAACCACATCAGAATACTAATGGACTGTGAACAGCACCGGCCATCTTGGTATCAGAACAAGGTTTAGGGCTTGCTAGGGTTCTTACGTAGGCTTCTTCCAGCCGGCTACATGAGGATGTATTAGGGCTGGATATTTCTGTCTGTCTTGCCTGATTCTTGGAGGTTGATTGGAGAAATTCTTGCTGCCCAAGATCTGCAATCTTGGAGATCACCAATAACCAGGAAGAATCAGAGTTCTTTAAATCAGATTAAGGTTTAGGGGCTGTTAAAAACTGTTAATTCTTTAAGTATAGTTCCGCAGGGGTACTATTGTAACTTTCTCCTTTTATTTTTTATATTCTGTCGCCCTAGTATAAATACTAATAGCTGGCGCCGCCAGCAACACTTTTGGCTCTCAAATCTCTCTTCCTCTCTTCTTCTCTCCTGCGTAACATGGTAATAGAGCGGGACTATCAGATCTGAAAGGAGAGATCAAGTGAACTGTTTCCTTCGCACCAGATTTCCAGATCTGCTGTCCTCATCTACTGTTTGGGTGATTGAAGATCCAGTTTTCTCACGCACTGAAGTAATCTCTCTCATTCTCCTCTTTTTTTCTGGTCATGCGCCAGAGCAGAACCTGTACTAGGTCTGCTGGTTGGATGTGAGGTGATCAGACCTCTTTCTTTCCTTTTTTGTGGGGTCGACTGATCCCTGTAAAAAGCTGTAGGTCGGTGAAGACCTTTTGTGTGCTGCTATAGCAGCTTTTATTGGTGAACCTGAAGGTCAGAGAGTGACCTGTACATGCTTTTAACAGCATCTTTGATTGATGCGTAGGTCACGAGATGACCTGTATGCACTGTGAAAGCAACTGGTTTTGATTCTGTAGGTCAAGGGATGACCTGCTAGTGTTGTAAAAGCACCTGTGTTTAACAACAAAAAGGGGGGTTGTCCTTTCTCCCTTGGTGTTAGACTTTTTTAAAGGCTTTGTGCCCACTTTAAGAGCCTTTTGAATCTGTAACCATGAGCGGTGAAGATTCTTCTACATCCGGTGTTTCCTCAATACAGAATGGGATGAGTGGGGGTATGGACCTATCCTTTCCCATGGTTGTTATTCCCTTCGATGGCTTAAATTATTTAGAGTGGTCAAGAGGGATCAAGTTATACATTACTACAAGGGGAAAGATAGGATATATAAATGGGAGAATCAAAGAACCCAATTCTGGGAGTGCTGAATATGACAGATGGAACCAAGAAAACAGCATGGTCATGTCTTGGCTTTTAGTGTCTATGCAACCTCAAATAAGAAGGAATTTTATGTGGGCTGAAACGGCAAATGAGATATGGGAACAAGCAAAATCAACCTATTCTGAGCTGTGTCACTATGCAAAAATTTACCAGTTATAGGCAAAATCGTCCACTTGTAAACAGGGGGGGAGAGGTGCCTTTCTGTGTACTATTCAGACTTGACCTCTGTCTGGAAGGAGTTAGATCATTATCAGAGTGTGGACTAGAAGTGTGATGAAGATGCAAAATTGATGAACAATTTTGGAGGGGATGCAATTGTGTTGGTAGCGAAAGGGAGTGTTGCTACAGGTGGGGAAAATACCTTTAAGAAGGGAGACTTTCAGAGCAGGGTGGATGACAAAGACAAACTATGGTGTACTCATTGCCAGAAACCCCAACACAACTGAGATACATGCTGGGATCTTCATTGGAAGCCAAAATGGGCTCAAAATTTGAGTAAGAAGAAAGGTTCAGATCTGAATAAAAAGTCAGGACAGCAAGGCACAAGAATGCACGCTATCGCAAACATGGCTACTCAGGAGGATCAGCCCCCCATTACTACTGTGACTCGGACACACATCTCTGAATCTGACCCAAGGGAGGATATTATTAATTCCTTCTGTGACCATTTAGAGCTCTATGGTAGAGCAATTTGTCAAATGGATGCTCTTTCCTCAACTTCATTTGCGTCTATATCAGGTAACTCTGCCACAGCTTTCCATGTAGCATCCCATTCCCCCAACACTCCTTGGATCATTGATCCTGGAGCGTCTAAGCATGACAAGTAAGTCCTCTTACTTTCAAACCTATCACCTCCTTTCTGGAAGAAACAAGGTAAGACTAGCCAATGGATTATACTCTCCCGTAGCTGGTCAAGGAACCATTTCTCTTCCTTTTGGCCTTACCTTGTTTAATGTTTTACATGTCCCGAAATTTCTCATTAATTTGTTCTCTGTTAGTAGTATTACTAATTCCTTAAACTGCTCAGTGACTTTTTCCCTTCTTACTGTGTGGTACAGGATCTGGCCTTGGGGAAGACAATTGGTAGAGGATGTGTGGTGGATGGGCTCTACATGCTGGAGAATAAGGCTGGTCTTATAGTCATAGAGTCTAAGAGTCAGTCTTGTAAGAGTCATGTCTATTTATGGCATAGTTGTCTTGGCCATTTATTTTTTGAGTCTTTAAAAATGGTGTTCCCAGAGTTGTTTAAGTTAGTGTCAGTGTCAGAATTTACTTGTCAAACTTGTCAATTGAGTAAGCAGTGTAGAACTCATTTTTCTTCAAAGAATAATAAATCTGAATTTCCTTTCCACATTGTTCATTCTAATGTTTGGGGCCTTGTTACTTTACCATTTGAGAGTGGCTACAAGTATTTTATTACCAATATCGATGATTACTCCAGATATACATATCCTATGCGAACCAGGGATGAAGTACCCAAAATTATTCAAGATTTTCAGCGGATGATCTTCACCCAATTTCAAACTGAAATCCAAAATTTTCAATCGGATAATGCCAAAGAATATTTTCATAGTGATCTCACAGAGTTTTTTGCTTCGCATATCGTAGCTCTTGTGCCCGAACACCACAACAAAATGGTGTTGCTGAAAGAAAGAACCGACACGTTCTTGAAGTGGCCCGGGGCTTACTAATTCATATGAATGTCCCAAAACATTTTTGGCTTGAGGTTGTCCTTTGTGCTACCTATCTCATCAACCGTATGCCCTCTTGTTGGTTAGAGTGCAAAGCCCCACATCAACTTCTTTTTCCTAAGGCTCCCCTTCTTTCTATTCCTCCTCGTGTGTTTGGTTGCCATTGTTTTGTTCAAAATCTGTCACCCACTCGGGGAAAATTGGATCCTCGTGCTATTCCTTGCATCTTCTTGGGGTACTCTCTCACTCAGAAGGGATACTGGTGCTTTGATCCTGTCTCTCACAGGTATTATGTTTTTATGGATGTCTCCTTTTTTGAGAGTGTGCCTTTCTTCCCTGTTTCTCCTCAGGGGGAGTGTAGGAATGAGGAGAAACTGGTTCAGCTCGCTTCTCTTCCTGATCCTCCTCCTCCCTTTCGTGTCTTCTTTCGTCGTCACAAAGGCCAAC